AATTCCAGCTGTAAAGGCTGACTAAACAAATAGCCTTCAAAGTGTGTGTTGGAGTTGAAATTCTATCAAAACATCTGCGGTTCCTCTCATTCCATAAACACCAAAAAATAGTAGCTGGGACCATCCTCCAGACTCTTTTGATGGCTTTATCAACTCTGCAAAAACTCCAAAACTCATAGGTATCTTTTATTGACTGAGGTTGCACCCAGCTCAGTCCAAAAATAGAAAGGAAAAAGTTTCAAAGTTCTATTGCAATTGTGCAGTGAAGGAAAAGATGGTTGATGGACTCCATATTTCATTATTATTCATTGTTAATAAACAAGAGTTTTTCTTGACTCCGTTCTTACCCCATAGAGATATTGAATAGAAGGGTTTTTTTTGTTTCCCACCATAATTTTGAAAATGAACGTTTAAATGCCCTTCAAAAGTAACTAAATAGATCCGAAACATATAAAATGCGGTTAATCCAGCCTTGGCCCAAGCTATTATTGTGAAAATTGGCGAATACAACCAACTATCATCAAGAATTTCATCTTTGGACCAAAAACAAGCAAGAGGTGGAATACCACAAAGAGAAAGTGTACCTAATAAAAATGTGATTTTGCTAATTGGTACATGTTTTCTTAAACCTCCCATAAGACCCATATTCTGACTTTTAGCTGGAGAATATCCAACAATAGTTTCCATTGAATGAATAATGGATCCGGATCCTAAAAATAATAATGCTTTGGAATAAGCATGAGTAATCAAATGAAATAAAGCGCTTCGATAAGACCCCATACCAAGAGCTAACATCATATAACCCAATTGAGACATTGTGGAATAGGCTAAACCTCTCTTAATGTCTTTTTTAGCAAGAGCTAAAGTAGCTCCTAATAATACTGTTATTATTCCTATAACCGAGATCAAATACATTATTTAAGGTATAACTCTGAAAAGGGGAAGAAGCCGAGCTAAGGGCTCGGAATGGATTTAGGAGTCTTTGTGTGAGCCGTATGCGGTGAGAGTCGCACGTACAATAACGAGGGGGGTTCGTGTCTATACGTGTAGTGTGGTGCTTAGGCCTACCCACCCTATTTGTTCCATGATCTCGACTTATGATGTGTTCTTCAATCCGTCTTTGGTTTTCATTTTATTACGGAATCTTCTACATATTCCAGTTGCTTTTAAGTTTTCTGCTCACAGTGTTTTCTTTTTGATAAAATTTTCAGGTTCAAGTTTTGAATACTATCTCTGTTCTGATAGCACGTGTTACTGAAATTATGCCATATGCAAACAAGTTGGTGCTATTTTTCCAAAAGGTATCTTTTTGGGCTTTCTTCTGCTGCTTCTTGTTGATGGGTTCACTTAAATATGAAAATTTATGTGTAGTTGAAGTTTTGTTTTATTGCCGTTACCATTCCAGAGTACAATCTCTGTAAGAATTAAGATTTTCCTGAAATTTCTTTTAGATGTTAGGAAAAGGCTCAGGACTTTCTAGTAAAGCCTTTTCATTAGTAATGCCTTTGAAATTACTACCGGTGGACCAATATCCATGTGAGTGGTAGATCTATGAGTCACTTCATGCTGTTTCTCAAGCACTTATTTGGAGACCCAAACTTGATTACCTCTATTGTCCTTACTCTCATTTTGTTTAGTTTGTAAAACATGTAAATACATCCAGAGAAGACTTTGTTGAGAGAATTGCATGTGAGAGCAGGGATTCTTAAAGAATTCCATGTGTTTTTGTTTCCATTATGTTGTATCTGCGTGAGTTTTACAGTTATTTCTTTTTGCTGATTAGAGCTGTTCCTTTATCAGGCATGGGAAGAATCTTCTAGTGAAAGCATCTTGCAGATTCAACTTCTTACTGCACTGAAAAATTTCGTAGTTGCTCTTGGTTATCAGTCAACTAAATCATACAGCATGTTGTTGCCGATATTGCAAAGTGGAATTAACGTAAACAGCCCTGATGAACTACTAGAAGACTGCATGCAGGCATGTTTTATACGTGGCCCATTTAATTGATTAATTTCATGTTAGAACTGTGTTCTAATTCCAGCCAGGTTATCATGCAGTTATGGGAAGCAACACTAATCAATGCACCTTCTATGGTACCAGAGTTGTTGGGATTTTTTCCATGTCTTGTGGAAATCTTGGAAAGAAGTTTTGATCACTTGAAGGTTGAGGAGAGATTTAACGAACTAATATTTTCAGTTGTCGATTGTTTTTTGTGCTGATCTTCCATTGACATGTAGGTTGCTACCAATATCATTGAAGACTATGTTATTTTGGGTGGAAGGGAATTTCTCAATTTGCATGCGTCTAGTGTTGCTAAACTTCTAGATCTGGTGGTTGGGAATGTTAACGACAAGGGATTACTCTCAGTTATTCCAGTCATTGACATCCTAGTTCAGGTGATTGATTTCCTTGCCACTTTTATTAAATTATGTATTTGGAAGGCTGTGGATTAACCAAATAAATAATATGCTACCTAAGCTGCTTTAGTTTCAGTGTACTTCTTTTGAACAGGAGTGCAAATGCTCAGAAATGAAGGGAGACTAAAAAAATAATGACATGCTTCTTAAAATGTATAATTCCGTATGTTCTGAATTTGAGCTTAGATAAGAGAAAAGTAAAGGAAAAGAGTAGTTGATATGATTCTTAAAACCCTCAATCCGTTTGTTCTACAATTTGAGCTTTGATAAGGTTAAAATGGATCAAAACTAAGTTTCAATACAAGCTTCTCATGTTATAATTTTGAGCTTTGATAAGATAAAAATGTATCAAAACCAGGTTTCAATACAAATTTCTCATTAACTCCCACTAGAACATTAGTGGATATAATATAGACCTAAAATGGTGCTTCCTATGAATGATATGTGCTGATGCTTTTGTGATGTGGCAGTGTTTCCCGATGGAAGTGCCTCAGCTAATCAGCTCCACTCTGCAGGTAGTTGTAGTTCTCTGCTATGTCTTTTCTTGTTTTTTCCTAGGCACTCCAACATGTCTATTTACCTTTTCTTTTATGGAATGATTTAATGTGGTTCAATGAATGTTGCCAGAAATTAATAATCACATGCCTGACTGGGGGAGATGATCATGATCCTTCCAAGGCAGCTGTAAAAGCATCATCGGCAGCCCTGCTGGCAAGGATTTTGGTGATGAACACCAATTATCTTGCACAGCTAACTTCTGATCCATCACTGTCTATACACCTTCAGAAATCTGGTTTTCCTGGTGAAGAAAATATACTGCTTTGCCTAGTTGACGTATGGCTTGAAAAGGCAAGTTAAATGATTAAATTTTGAGTTTTGATAGATATCATTGTGATTGATGGTTTTCTTTAGGACCTCTACAAAACCTGAGCTGGTATTTATGATAGTAAATGTGTTCTTGGTTTGTTTGTTCAATCAAAATATTGTATCAAGGTGCAAATATGTGAGCCATATCCATTACGATCCCAGTTGAGCACAAACATAGATGAGAGGCCTTTCCAGAACTATCAGAGAGATGCTACTAGTTACAATAGTATAACTGACTTTTCGGCCATAGCATCATTCAGTATAAGATGACCTATAAGATGAACTATTTGACATATCAGTCATGTGTAACTTGTATGGCTATAAATGCACTTCTACCATAAATACACTTCTATAGTAACAGGAGTTGCGACAGTTTCCTGAACCTGTAGATGGTTCTATAGTATTATCAGTTTTTAGGAAGCTAGTATGCTCGTCTTCTTTTATCAGTAACGAAGAATGATTTTGTTAATGATCAGAGCCAATCACGTTGGTGTTTGGCCTTTTACAAAAGTTGGCCGTCCACTGTACAAGAACGGCGATTGGGATCACCTCTACAAATAACTCCAGAAAAGTGCTAATGAAGTCCTACCATATTTTGTAGCTCATGTACTTCCTGAAGTTTACACCATAAAGCCAACATACACGAACATATATATGCGCGCAGTGTCTCGGCTTCGCTTCGGTTGTCAGATTGGTTTGCTTGTTATTGCCTCTCCCCTTTCTCCTTCCCGAGCCGAGGGTCTTCCGAAAACAACCTCTCTGCCTTTTTAAAGGCAGGGGTAAGGTCTGCGTACACTCTATCCTCCCCAGACCCCACTTGTGGGACTACACTAGGTTTGTTGTTGTTGTTGTTGTAGTGTCTCGGCAAGTGCGTTGCACGTGTATGCCTAGTCGTGTATCAAACAATTTTGTAAAATAATATTAATATTATTAAGTCAAATCTTTGAGTATTTAATTATACATGAAAGAATAAAGTACAAGTTTCTATGAATGCTGAATATGGTTTTTCGTATAAAGGCTTGTTTATCGAGGTAAAGATGATTAAATATCATCTGAAACCTACGAAGATGAACAATCCAAGTTTAAATAGATACATGTGATTTTTTCAAGAGGCTCAGTGTATCACCTATCACTTCTACGGAGAGCTTTGATTCCCGATCCACTAGATCCATACTCACACCATGCACCTTCACCCATAATTCCAAAATTTTAGCTCAATATTGACATTAGCGATCAAATACACCAGAAAGAAAAAGTGAGGAAAGAAGATGTGAAGTTCATATTTGCAGGCCTCGTTTTTTTTCAATTTTATAAATAAGGTATTTAGGTTATTTAGATTAGGTCTTTAACTTTTTAGTTTAAGGGTTCAAACTTTTTTTAATAATATAATATAGATTTAGATTTGTATATACCCACAATGGCACTTTTTAATTGATGCTAATTCAACATAATCTTCTTCATTTGCTCACAAATTTAATTTATATGAATTTAAAATGTAGTAATTATTCAAGTGCCAGAGTGCTAATTTAGGATGATCAAGATGCTTTTGATATTTTCTTTTGTAAATAAATAAAGGGCACAAAAACTATTGTTCCCAAAAGACACAATTTTTTAGGAGTTTGAATATGCGTCTTTTGCAATTTGAGTTTGAATTGTTGCAAATAAACACGACTTGATAATGCTTATTGACTATTTTGTTCATTTCTTCTCACCCACTTCTACAAATTTGATATGAAAAATTAGACGTTATTCTTAATTTCATATTTAGTTTTCTTAATGTTTAGTACAAATGGCGGAGAAGAAATAAACTATTCCTTCATAGATCAATATAATTTATTAGTTTGTAACACCAATAATAAAAATCACATTGAATAGCTATAGATAATGGTATTATTTATTAATAATAATAATAATAACAACAGAGCCGGGGGTCTATTGGAAACAACTTCTCTATCCTCACAAGGTAGGGGTAAGGTCTGCTACTCTGCGTACACACTACCTTCCCCAGACCCCACGGTGTGGGATAATACTGGGTATGTTGTTGTTGTTGTAATATTAATAATAACAACAATATAAATAAATAAAATGTTGTATCTTTTCTCACACAAAGAGTTGTGCCCTTTAATAAAACAATTAACCTTTTGAAAAGTTTTTTCCTAACTGCTAAATACCAATGAAAAAAACACAAATATTTAGCGAAATATAATATAATCACTATTTAAAAAAAAGGGTATTTTGTCTTTATCTCTCAAGAGGTATCAAATTCATGATAAAAGATCATCAACCTTTAAATTCAAGTATTAATGTAAGACTATCCACGTCTTACTAACTTTGGAATATAATCTTTCACATAATACATGCATGAAACTAAATTGTATACCAATAAACTAATTTTCTACGTCAAAATGAATAAATAATACTCCCTCCGTTCCAATTTCTGTGAACCTGTTTGATTGGGCACGAAGTTTCAGAAAAAATGAAGACTTTTGAAATTTCTGGTCCTAAACAAATCAAAAAGGGCCCCAGAGTATTTGTGTGGTTATAAAAGCTTCTCATTAAGGGTAGAATTGTAAGTTTAAGCTATTGTTTCCAAATTTAGAAAGAGGTCATTCTTTTTGGAACGGACTAAAAAGGAAATAGGTTCACATAAACTGGAACGGAGGGAGTATAAATTTTCTTGTTTCTAATCATAACAAGCATGCAAGACACAATATATATCATGAGACCATGATCCTTTACCCTAACAATTATAGAAATTGTCTTTCATAAACCACTAAGGGTAGGAAACAACAAATAAAATATAAGTCGAGTAAAAGAAAATAGAACCTGTTTTGTCGTCATCAAACCATTCCAATATCTCCAAATAAAGGCCTGGCATGGTAGAATCCTTGCCAATGTCATGTGAAACCTTCTTATATAAAATCGTATTACTTTGACGTAATTTTACCAGAGCACTATTCATAGCCAACTTTGCAGAGTCAAACACCGCTCCTTTGTAGATCTCTTTTTGTGCTGGTGTCAGTGCTCTTAAAATTCATTTCAATTCCTCCACCCTCATTTCTTTACTTTTTGCTATATCGTTAAAATTGCTGGGTTTGTTTTCTATATGCGTGCCTTTAAGATAATTGCTTTAACTTTCAATCTATAAGACCATGTTTTTCCCCTCTTCAACATGATATTTATTCAAGGAGGCATCTCATTCAATCACAATGAACTTGGGTCTTAACATTTGAAGACCGCGTAATTTCATCATCTAAAGTCAACACATGTTTGGTCTTCTAGTTCCTGGGAATCGATATGTACGTATTGGTTACAACCGTTGGTGAAACAATATCTTTCATTATGGAGGCATCTGTACTAACACAAGAGTACTATATAAAATTCGACATTGCCAATATTCTCATTTTTTATTCCCTCTAATCTGAAGAGCAAAGCAACTGTTTTGTATTGTACTCATAGTGCAGTTTTGCATTTTCCTTTTTCTCGTCTTATGGAAGGCTGTTTCATGAGTAACTTTGTAACTATCTTCTCTTTGGTTTCACAAAGGCACAATCGTACTTGGGAGGCCCCTAATTTGAAGAGTAGTATAAAATTAGAGAGTACCTAGGAATCGTTAGTTAGAAAATAATCTAAACATTAGTAACTAATCTTTAAGGGTTGCTTCCTTCAATAAACTTGATATTTTTAGTTAACCTTTTTAAAATAATAAATAGGGTATTTAGCTTTTTTAGAAGGATATTTTGGTAATTTAACTTTTAATTTATGGGCTTTCCACTTTTAATATAATATAGATAGATTGTTCCTTCCAGGTTTTTGCCAGCGGTAGGGTTCGAACCCGTGGCAACTGGCATGCGCGCCTAACCCACATATCATGAACATCTATATTTTAATACCTATGCAAAGCTTGCTTACCCTCTAAACACCTAGAATTTCTTTCTATCCATAATGCCCAACAATCACAGACCTGGGATTGTCCTCCAAACTTTCTTCATCAATTTGTTCCTTCCTTTACCCCAATGACAATAGATCCTTCAACTCCCATTTCCTTTGCGCCTTCCGGATGACAGTCTGCTTCTTCAGCACTCAGAATCGCCTTTTCCAGTTCATGTAAGAGTAAGGCCATCATTGACACTTCCCAGTTGAAATATTGCCTTCTACAGTTCACGCACCAGCCAGTGCCACTCCAGTATTAGTGAACTTACAATCCTGCATCCTTAGTAAAACTATATATGTCAACAAAGGGGAGCAATTATTCTTGTTTCAACAAAATGTCCAACAGATGAAATTTCAGCGAGTAAAAGATCTGTTCTAATGGTAAATTGCGCGTCTATACATGCCAGAAGTATGGCTTTTTAGCTACTGTGCAAGTAAGATACGTCTTTCGTTTGTAGCAGCACCTCTTATGATTTTGACCTGTGTCCGTGAATTATTTATGCATCTTTATTGTGGGTTCATGTTGTTAAGCCTGTATTGCTCACACTTGAGGTCTTGCATCTTCTCAATCCTTTTATAGAAGGTTTGGGGACGCTTAGCTTGAAATTCTTCTTTGAACCTAGTTCTGATAACAACTTTGTGTGGTTTCCGTACCTGAAGTTTTATGTTATCCTTAGTTTTTTGTTTTCTGAAATTTTCGTAGGTTGACAATGTTACTTCGTTCCAGAGGAAGACAATTGGTTTGGCCCTTTCTATAATTCTAACTTTGAGGTTGCCTGAAGTACTTGATAAGCTAGATCAGATTATGAGGTATTCAATTGAATTTGTATTCATGAAATTTATTTCTGTATTTGTTTTTAATTATCCTAATCTGATATGTACTTTTTGTTTATGCCAATCTAACCTCTATGCTTTTGCTAGTGTATGCACTAGTGTTATGCTAGGTGGAAGTGAAGATATAAGTGAAGAAGAGTCTAGGTATGGTCTATAATCTTGTTTTTACTTTAATGGCTCTTGAGATTTTGACAACTAGTGAGGCTTTCTTCTCATTATAAAATGTGAAACCACAGTAGTGACAGTGTAAACTCTAGCAAGCCTCATGTGCCGAGCAAAGAGTTGAGGAGGAGACAGGTAACCCCTGGTGCTAGTACTTATAAATGAATAGCGCAATGTAGCTTTTTACCGAATCAGTTTCTTAGTGAAATTTTCTTTCTAGATGAAACTTTCAGATCCAATAAACCAGATTTCGTTGGAGAACTCAGTGAGAGACAATCTTCAGACTTGTTCAGCTCTTCATGGGGAATCCTTTAGTGCAGCCATTGGTAGACTGCACCCTGCAGTACTCAGTCAATTAAAACAAGCATTGAAGATGCCATGAGTTAAATATTGGGTGTCAATTCTTGATGTAATTTTCTAAGTTGGTCTTTGAGTTCCAATGATCCCACCAAGGGGTAAGGAAGGTGAGTCATTCTTTTTATGCATGCATTTAAGTTTCTTCCTTCTCCTTGATCCCCAAATACAGAAAAATTTCGTCTTAATGTTTTTTGGACATATGTTAAGGGGGTGTATAATATCACAACAATGAATCTGTAGCAATTTAAAGGAATACATGCAGTAGTGAGTTATTATAACGGATCTTGCTCAAGGCTTTTGACTATGAACTTCTGCGTAAACTTCCTCTATTAATCATGATATAGGGTGTTTGTCTTGATTGCAGTGGAAAACCACATATATGTCTCAAATGTCTTTTGGTATTCACTCTCAAGTATGAATAAAAATGACAAAAGGGGGAAGGGTGGCGGGAGGGGGGACATTATGCTGCAAGATTTCTTTCATATTTGTTCGTTTAATATGGATTTAGTTTTGTTTAAGCTCAAGTCAGTGATTTCCTCTCACCTTTGCTTGCAAATTGAAAAAATGACTAAACAGCTGACAAAAATGGGAATAACTTCTAATATCATGGAGATTATTTCAAAATGTAGTACAGTGGTTTCTGAAGTTCCTTTTTTTTTTGAAATGGTTAGGTGTAGGTTTCTGAAGTTGATTGATTATTCGACCCTTACATTTGATCGTCGCAATCTGCAAAACTTCCATTTGGCTTCACTTTAACTTGCTATGTAACATTTTGCTTTAGCAGACTATCTTCACCCTAACATTGACCTGCATCCCCCCGCCTGCCCGCTTTATATTCTTTCCCACATCTCTCTCTCTCTGTGTGTGTGTGTGTGTGTGTGTGTGTGCGCGCGTGTGTATGGGTTCCTTGTATCATTTAAATGTGAAAGTTCGTTTGTTGATGAATGTAAGATTATTAGGGAGCTCTCTTGATTTGCATCTGTTTATGCTTCCTATCTTTACCAAGATTAAAACTGATGTAGTTTTCTACTGTCCAGGTCTCACTTGGAACATGCTGCTGCCCGGTTATTAATGAAATATTCCGAAAGTTCGATTGTTTAGCCCCTATGATTTGGTTGAATTTTGTTGTTCTGGATGGGTGAGCACCAATTTGTTCACTTTTTGGGCCCTAGTGGTGCAGGGGGGCTGGTGTTGACCTAATTTTTCTCTCCATTTGGTGTTCGGGTTACATTGTAAATAGCATGATCCTCTCATGTCGTGGTTTTTAAGGCATAAGGATCAGAGCTTGAGGTCTCAAGTGCACGAAATACTTTATAGTGTGCAGTTAAGATACTGCGTTCAGTTTTTTCGCCTCTTCAAAGTTATACCGAGTTTCATATTTCATGTGTGAAAATGTGACTGCATTTTAACATTTGCTCAACCAGGCAAGGACAATGACGGAGCCACTCCTAGAGACGACAATCTGGCTTAGCGACATTATCCAACTATTCTAGTTGTGTGCCTTTTTTTTTTTTTTTTTTTTTTTTTTTTAAATTTCTTTGATGTGTTTGAAACAATATATGAAACAAAGCATTTAGCGGCTACATCGGTTCAAATTTCAACAGAGTGCTGCATGCAATAATGTAGAAAAGCTGCGTGTGCATTATTTTGAGGTCAAAGGGTGCAAGATTCAAATATAGCCTTATTGTCTTTTTGAATGATAATCTAGTGTTATAGACTAAGGACGGAGGATGTTGTAGAGTCCAAAAACCTCAGCTTATAGGCTCTTAGTAGAACAAAGTGAAGCAAGAACTTTTGAGTTCATTTCTCATGCATTAGTTGGGGGCAAAGGGAAGAGGAGGGACATTGCATGAGGGAGAGGGACAGTGGGAGTGAAATCTACATTATGTGCAAGACTTTCAGCGGTACCATTGGGCTACAAGTAGTTGCATTTGAAGTAACATAACGTTTGTGTACCTTTACGTGAGATCTCGTTGAAGTCCTAAGCTTATTGGTAACAAATAAAGGAATTGAAACAAGATTTGCGAAGGATGATTATATGAATCCTCATAATTTCCGCTACGGCTTTACTCATTTTTCATATCCTGGATATTACGTGGATAAGAATACTACGCTGGGAATCTTATTACATAGGGTCAAGTCTAGTAGTGCCTTTTCCTTCTATTCAGCTTAATTTAGATACTTGGCACTCCTAGACAGCTATAAACTGGTCCAAGAGAATAAAAACCAGATTTATCTTGTTGTAAATGGCATGATAGGAAAGGTCTGGTTATTTCACTGAATATGATTCTTGATGCTCTCTTCAGGTGTAGTTCTTATCAACGTTCGCTTATATATACTCTACTAGTTCTTTGCTTTTCGTCCAACAATTTAGGCTGCGTAAGTGCAGCAGATTCATATAGTAGTGTTAAAAGCTAGGGAGTTAGAAGGAAAACAAAATGAGACACGTTCCTATATTTGTATCATTTACCTTGCTTGTCACCAATTAATGCTTCTTTTATATTCGAGAAATCTACAAGGCCAGCAGGCGCAACCCGAGGGCAGTGCTTGTCACTAGCATTAATTTCATTCTTTTCAAACTCAGCATCATCCACTCTAATCTCAGGATTTGAAACACTTCGAACGACCTAATTTACATCAATCATAAACTGTTTCAACTGATACAAGGACACACCACCTACATTTTTGCAGCCTAGGCAGCTGCAACCATTCTATATCCTTGTTTGAAAGCATTTTAGACCATATGTTTTGCTTTTCATAAGCATCTGTTAGTAAAACTGTGTCAAACCAGAAAATCAAAATGTTAGTTAACACAAAACAGAAAATGCAAAAATATTCCGAGCCCACAATTTTCTTATGCTGTCCTTAACGAATTTAATCTCTTTACTGTTGCCCAATGTCGTGGATTAATTCCTCTAGGATAGAACGGAAAAATTATTTTTTAATAGCTACACTTCAAATTACAGAACTTGAGCAAACTCAAATGACACTTATGTTTATTTTGAAAAACAATGCAACAACATAGAGGAGGGGAAATGTTTTTAGATCTTTCGGTGCGTAAAAAATGAGACCAAGCCTCTGAATTTTATAGAGAATAAAGAGTGAGATGGAGAGATGCAATTAAAAATGTGCATCTTCCATTTCCCCTTCACACCCTTACAAAAAAACCCAACAGCATCTACAATGGGCATTCAAGTGAACAACCGACTGTGATCATTAAGAGTTACTGAGTTACGCAAATGCCCAGGATTGAGACCTTATCAGAGTAACTATGATAAAAAGCCTCATTTAGATGTTAATCCATAGCTTACTTGAATTACTCATCATTTAGGATGAATTCCTTCATGCACAGAATAAACAAATCCAATTGAAGGAGAAGAAAAAGATGAATAAATTCATCTTTAGGCAAATCTGGTATTACACTATAATCAAAGTGGAGTCATCCAATTACATTCAGAGGTACAGGTAATGTTGACGAAATTATGGACTTCGCCAATAATGAGAAGTCAAAAACGTCTTTGTTTTTTAGAGAGAAAACGAATAAGATGTTTTTTGGCGAAGTCCAACACGACTATGATCCTAGTCAAGAGATGACACATTAAAGCAAAAACATCTTATCAACAGAGTAACTAAAAATGGGCATTAATGTTCACATTCCTACGACAAAGAAAAAATATTTAGGCACACCCATAAGAGAAAAAAAAAGGAAAGCATTGCCATATAGTTCAAAACGGAAGGCTTAAGCATCAAAAAATTTATTTTTAGAAAAAATGCCTATGAATCTAGTCAAGAGATGACACATTAAGGCAGATCCATATTAACAAAAGAGGTTTTTATTTATTGACAGAGTTCAAAAACAGGGAAGGATGGGCTAAAAAATAGATGTCAGCAGTCACATTCCTGGAATTCTAGTCAAAAGAAAAACAATTTTAGGCTTAACCATATCAAAGAAACAGTATCGTCATCCATTATATAGAGTTGAAAAGGAGATAAAAATTAACAAAAAGTATATCTTTAACCATAGGGCAACTCAAAAATAGGAGTAAATTTCATGGGTGATCATTCAACTTTGTGTTCATTACCCAAAAGTCATTTTTCTTTCCTTTGTTTCGTAAAAGTCATTCAACTTTATGTTTATTACCCAAAAGTCAATTTTTTTAAATCTTTTGTTACACAAAAATTTTACTATGCTCTAGTTATCACAATAATCACTTTGACCAGATTTACAAATCTTTCATCTGAAAAGTCTATTATGCCCTTGGCATTATAAATCATCTCATTTATGTAATACCTTCTATATTATATGCTATACAATATACTTTTACCAGGTATTTTACTATTTTATTTATTATTTTTATAATATATAGACCCTTGTGATCTGGCCCTTCTCGGACCCCGCACATAACGGGAGCTTAATGCACCGGGCTGCCTAGCATTCGTACATTTAATTTTTTCTTAACATTAATTTTCAAGATATATAAGTAGCATTATTAAATTTCCAGTAATATTATCGTGAATAAATCTCAAGTACATGTTCTTAACCATGCTTAATGAATATTTTTAATAAAAATTATAAAATTAAAGCTCACTGATTTATCAGCCAAACCATACTCATTAATCCAATAAATAAATACCCACATTTAGCACAATGGCACATCAAATTAATACTCTCAAATAAATAATATTATTAGATAAAGCTTTAAAAATTTAATATTAAACACAAATATCTATGAAACTTTTTTAAATATTTTTATTGACTATAAAAACTATAATTTGATTAACAAATTTGTTTGTTATTACTTCAAATAAATAATTTTTTTTTATCATTTTTATATTTAAAATATGTTCATGTTTAAATATGATTAAAAAAATTGAGTGCCATGAAAAAAATTAAATGTATGGATATATTATAAAAATAATTAATAAATAATTTAAATTATTTTAATTATACATAAAATACCTAGGTAAAAATATATTATATAGTATATAACATATATAGTGTATTACATATATGAGAGGATTTATAATGTGTGCATAATAAACTTTTTAAGTGAAAGTATTATAAAATCTGGCCATGGTGACTTTTGTGATAAATAGAGTAAAGTAAAATGACTTTTGTGTAACAAAAGAAAGAAAAATGACTTTTAGGTATGGAACACAAAGCTGAATGATTTTTACGTAACAAAAAGAAGAAAAATGATTTTCGCGTAATGAATACAAAGTTGAATGACTATCCATAAAATTTATTCCAAAAATAGATGTTAGCATTCACGTTCCTAAAATTCTACGATAAAAAGAGAATATTGTTAGGCGCGCATATATATATATATATATATATATATATATATATATATATAATAATAATAATAATAATAATAATAAAACAGCATTGACATCCATTACTAAGAGTTCAAAAACAGAGAAAAAAAGGCTAAGGTATCAAAATAACTCTTCTTTCTTCTCTTTTCATTAATATTCCCGCGCCCTAGCTCCATAGCTCAAATTCTCTAGTTAGGCTTGCATTTCGATTCATAACTCGCATAAATCACAAATCTCTTAAGCGTCCTAATCTATGTGACAGTGTTTGACTCAATACGAAATTATTATTATTTTATTTTTTAAAATTTGTGGTCTAGAACAACTATAAATTTTTGTGTAACTATAAATTAATTTATTAAGGGTAAAATAAGAATTCTAAAAATAAATTATTTCTAAAAAGAATATGATATTCTTTTCGGAATGGACTAAAAAAGAAAATATGTCACAGAATATACATTTTTTGTTTTTTGACTGTTTCACGAAACCCATATCTGAGAGTTTTATTGTTTCTTTGCTACATAAAGTAAGTAGCTCATTTCTTGCAGCACCTCTTACTTCAAATTAATTTTTGCGTCCTTTCCTGTCTTTAAAGTGAACTGTTAGATTGGACTTATAGTGCCGTATCTAGATAAGAGATTGTACAAAGTAGTTGCCACAGAGATTCTTATGCCACAAAGTATCTGGTATATTTTGTTTGGATAGTTCATGAGGCCTCGATCATAATATTGAACATGTTTTATATGTTTAAGAAGGCGTTGTAAAATGTAAATAATTTATTTTATATTGTGTTGTAGCAAATGCAATTGCTGCTTATTCCCGAGCATTTTCGCGTTCAAAGGGTGATGTCAAACTTCTCTAAATATTAGTTTCTATTTAGTTGGAAATGGAGGAACTGTTTACCCGTAAAACGGTATAATTGAATTTGTAACGTGGTTTATAGACAAGTGAATCGATTTGATCACAAAATAACAAATAAATCAAATAAAATGCAAGACTTACCGTTAAAATCGAGATAAGGCAGCAGATAACGTAGTTCCGGGAGCAGAGCTTCTGAAGACAGTCAACACTACTAAAAAACAGCAAATTTGCGACTGAATAATTCCGACCGATTTAATTCAGTCGCAATTTTCAATAGATTCGGCCGGAAACTTTATTAAAAATACATGTTATTTTTTTTTAATTTTTGGCTCAAAATTGCGACTGATTTAGTCGCTCTATTACGCAAAAAATACCGCGAAAATATTTTTTACTGTTTGCGACTGAA